TATTTTTGAATGTGCCATTCATATTTGGGTTGTGTTATGGAAGCCAATAAATTAATACTTAACAAGCTCTAACCTTGTCAACTCAAGTAAAGTCATTTTTGGAATACATCAAAATAGTTCAAATCTGAATTGTCTGTTATACCAAACTTTAGCCATCTTTTATATATTTCCTCTTACAGAGTTCTTGTTAAGATGAACAAAATTAGAGGACCAAGCCARCAACCAGATTACAGCACAATAGAACAAGAATCTGTAAGAATATTCTCTTTTATTAATGCAGTTGATTAATAATAATTACTGTTCAGCCAAATTGGAACCAACTGTCAATCAGCTATTTTATTTTTACAATAACTTACAAATCTCTCAGSTAYSYCTCGTGGAYYCACACTACTTTGACAATGTGATGAYGCAATTTATCATCAAWAAGAGGACAGAWACATAAAAAACAGATGTCTATTTGTTAAYGTGATCAACCCACACTGTATGGKAAAGTGAGTTGGTCACGAATCATAGTTTTGTCAATCATTATTTAAGAGATAAATGATTGTTACTATTTTTATATACTTAGATAAATAACAGAAATTGCATCACATAAGCGGCACCCTCAAATAAACGCCATCCCTGAATTAACTCCACATATGGCACCCAAAAAATTTAATAAGCAGTGTCACTGGCGCTTAAATGAGTAAATGCAGTATTAATTGACATTGCTACTTTCTAAATTTTAGTTGTTTTCATTTTATAGAAAAAGGTTGAGAAATCACTGACTTCAGTTAATAGTCAATTGTCAATGATAGAAGATGAGCTACAAGAACAAAGAAGGTGTGTGGTCAAGAAAATTTTATGGGTTTATGCAAACTTGTAACATAACAACTTCAATTTTGCCTTATAGATTACTTGAAAGTGAAGAAGAAAAATTGAAAACAATCACCTCCCAACTCACTAAAGAAACCAATGCAAATGATCAGGTGAGATATCAAAAATAATTTTTGGATATCTTAAAATTGACATCATTCTTTCAAATTTTATGGATACCCTAAAACAACCCCTGGGCTGATCAAAAMYRCACAGATTGAATTGGAATTTAGAAAGACCTATGAATTTAGAAAAAAATCTTGAATCAAGGGATAAGYCTTGTCCAGGAATAAGTCCAGGAATCAAARCYGAGACCCCAGAGGTGAGGCAATATTGCACTACTGCTGCATTGACCCTGGATTCTGCAGTTGCCAATCAGGGACCAGGAAAGCAGGGGGGGCTTTTGGAGTTGGGTGTGGGAGGGTGAGGGCAATAATGCAATAAAGCTATGGCACAGAAAATCACATTTCCAAGGGCCTCAATTTTAGAATGTTCAGGGGGTGGAGGCATTACCTTTGCAGATTTCCCCCTGCACCACCCAAATTATCCCCCCCCCCCCCCCCCAAAAAAAAAGCTCTGTGGTCTGTCATTACCATGTGCTTTAGTTTAGTGACTTGCTAAAAATTTAACTAGTATAAAATCATACTAACTGCTTTCTCACATCTTTCAATTTTTTGTAGCCACTTCATCCCTTATTAGAGAAAACATTTRCAMCCAGCCTTAATCTCCCCATGATAAGTAAAGAAGCAATAAACTTACCTATACCCAAGGTACTGTATGTTTTATCTCTRTTTTATCTCCAAGGTTTATTGTAGGGAGATTGGTACTTGGGTTGTCAGCTCCCCCACTCGAGAARAAATAGGGTGGGGTCTTAYCTATTTATCACTGGTTTTTAGCTAGTTATCTCTACTTATCACTGGATGACAGGTGCATAGGTTACCAAAATATAGTCTCCTCCCCCACTKGAAGATAAGTATCGGATAACAGGGAAGAAAAGATAAACAACTAGGCTATAATATTATGACAACTACAAAAACCACAACATTTCTTTCTTATATTATGTCTACTAGATTCCAGCTGAGTTAGAAAAAGGAGCCCAAAGGTTGGGCAAGACATTATCAAAGCTAAGTAATAACATGAATAATATTGGTCTCACGCAATGGCTTGAATCTGTGTCTCAACTACAAGCATCACTAAACCAAACATGATCTCAAAAATAGAAATAAGCTCATTATTAAGACAAAGACAAATGGGGTTATGTACATGCTTTGGGAAGATCAAGTTAACCGCATTGATGTTCATTTCTGTACCATATATGTACATCTCTTCATGCTTGGAAATAAGCTATGTGTTGTTACCCTAGCTTTTAATAAACTTCAATAAACTTTTTTTTTTTTTTTTTTTTTTTGTCAAGAAAGAATTTTATTGAAAGTTTGAGTATATATTATTTTCATAGTTAGTTGAAATAATTTAGCAGGGTAGTTACAAAAGGTTTCGTTACAAAAATTCTAGATGTCTATTTACATATTGCGCATGATTTTGTCCCAGTTGGTAAGTCACATATTATATAGATGGCATCACTAAATGATGATGACTAGATTAAGGTGAAATAACACAGTCTKGACCACTATATCCATCCATGCAAACACATGCCCCAGTATAACAAGAACCATGCGTCAAACTACAATTCTGACAAGCTGGAACATCTTCTACCTTGACTCCAAACYTCAAATCAATATCATTAGCATAGTTAAACCAAATTACATTTGCGACATCAGGRTTTGCTGTCATGTACCCTTGAATGTCCTGTATGTCGGAGCCAACCGCTACCTGTGATGTCACGCTGTGATCAATTCTTGAGAAGACCAGAGGTCTTGTGTAGAGAACCCGCAAAGAATTGTACTTCATTTTTTTCTGTTTTTGTTCGTTTGTGGCAAATTCTGTTAATTTGTCAGCAACCACTTTTTCAGGTGTYCCCTGGAAATTTTTCTCAGGGAACAAAAGTAAGGGGTGTGAGGGGGTGGGGTAGGGATCATTTGCTGCAGGTCCTGTGGAGTAAAAGAAAACAATGTATGAGTGTTCAGTCAGTCTGTGACAAAGAGCCCATTACCACCGATTTCATTGCTACACACCCAGGACAAACAGCTGTGCCTCTTRCTTCACTTCTGGGCCTACCTCAAACTGAGCCACAATTCAAGGGGAGCCGTACAGTAATTTACAGCTTCAAAAGAAGGTATTACTCATCTTTGATAGTACAATATTGARCATTAATTGTGTTTGAAATTATGACCATGACTTGAACATTGCTTGTTTTAGTCCTACCACTCTTTATGGTGCTCCGTGGTCCACTTACTAGTTTCACAATTAGCTCCGGAATGCCCATTTGTACACTGACAAGTCCCATCAATGCCGCAGGTACCAAAATAACAAGTCCTTGCACAAGAAATTGGCTGACATCCCCCTACCGGACAATCCACTCGGATGGAAAAGTCCATCATCCACTGYGTCCAGGATGTGTAGAAGATTCCTTTTGAAGCACCAACATCTTGGTTGTCGAACATCCAGAGATGGATGTTGGAAATGTTGGATACTTTGTTAGGGGAGGATGACCAGGTGTTACCAGTCAGACAGCAAGCTGCAAAAAGAGAGAAGATTTTGAGTTTTTCATCCTGGTAGGAAAACCAGAGAACCCTGAGARAACCCCTTGAAGCAAGAGAGAGAYCCAACAACCACTAGACTACTCATTAGATGAGAAGTCAAGGAATTGAACCTGCGATCACAGAGGTGAGATGCAGGTGCATTACTGCTATGCCAYCCTTCAGGAGKGAGGAAACCYAGAGAACCTGTAGAAAAAACCTTGAAGCAAGAGAGAGACAACAA